ATCAATCGTAGATTTTGTTCTTAAGACTTCCTGCTGTTTTTCAAAGGGAGATACAAATTTTTTATGTTTCTATTTCTATATAACCAGCTAAAACTGCCATTTAATTTCATAATTCCAAACAGAACCTACACTGTCACTCTCAAGCCAGTCTGTGTATTGCACTGGCCTCACCAAAAATTAGAGAATTCATTAAGCAAAATAAGGAATTGCAAAAAGTGAAAAACTCAATTCCAATTGATCCCTATATCTCTTTCTTGGAGCCTTGGCTTAGAGCTAGTTACCACATCAGAAATAATATTTGCATGAATATAATTGGTTGTTACTTTTGTGTTGGATTGCAACGTATCGGTTGAAGAGAGCTATAAAATACAGTGGCATCGTTTTCAGCTCCGCAGGCCTCCCTATAGGAGCTTTGAGCTGAAATACAGACACACCAACTACGAGAAACAAATGAAAGCTGTCACCAGTGTCAGTAGCAAAAACTGGGGGTCCATCCACACAAATTATGGACATCTGTATTCCTAATTGGCATCATTTCAGGCTGTGCCAGCAGAATGGTGGTGCCAAGAGAGTCTGACAGCTTCAGAAAATACTAGGTATCAGGTTTAGGTGATAGGAGACACTGATGAGGCATAGAAAAGTTCCTTTGTTTGGAATACTCTCCATATGGTTGTTATAATACTGGTGATTATTAGTTTCAGGTACCTCCAAATGGCACCCCTTGTCAATACTAAATTTGCTGGCTACTTCTTAAAACAGATCAGCTTATGATCCTAGGAGAACAAGTGGTATTGATGGTTATATGATCAGGGGATGGTTGGCAAAGATGCCTACAAATAGTTAACAAGGTAATGGTAAGAAATGTTGACCTTGATTTGTTTAGCTAAGATGTAAAGATTTTTGAAGGTCAAAGGTGTCCTTGTGTAGTGTTTTGGAGTCTAACTGTGTCTGACCCTCTAACATTAAGCTGCTGTGGCCTGCAGTTTTCAAGAGTGAAGCAAACCAGGGGAAAAGAGAGAAGGGGGAGAGAACAGGAAATGGAGTGAGGTGTTTCAGGAAGTTGTCAGGGGTTGACTGATTGATTCCAGATGGAAAAGGTCAGCCTTCGTGACCCAGGAAATACTCACTAGGGAAAGAAGTTGGCTTGTGGAAGGGGAAGGCCTGGGAGTGAGCCGAGGCTGGAATGCACTTTCCACTTCCTTTAGTCTTCAAACATTCAGAAACTTTAACTTCTCCAAAGAGAATAATATCAGTGTTGTCATCATTCATCAGAAAACAGTGAAGGAAGTTAAATTTGGAGCTTTGAATGTACCAAATGTATCTTCACCTCCATAATGTCCTTCATTCTTCCAGAAGTGAAGTGCATGAATGTAAAAGTCCATGTTTGTGTGTAGCTCCATGTACAAGAACAACAACCAAACTTGCCTGGTTTCATGTAGTGGATTTTGTGAATTAAATCCTTTCCACTTTGCAAATTTGGTTTAATTGGCAAGCTCATCTAGATACTTGAGAATCTAAAATATTTGGAATATTAAAAAAAAGGGGAACTCGTTATATATATATATATATATGTATATATATATATACACGCACACATTTGGACATAATTTAAAATCTTGTAATAAATTTTGCAGACACTGAAATAATTCAGGTTAATTCCCTTGCTGTCATGAGAGGCCAGCGCTAGCCAGCAAGAGATTAAAATTTATTTCCATTGTTAATAGAAAATAATGAAGTGCATCTGAACCATCAGGGTATGTCATTTGGGAAATGTTCACTTTGGAACGGACTCTCACTCCACCCAAATGGACAATGATGAAATCAGCTGGCTGGAGAAAACCCCATATTTTGCGGCAGGAGTGCATGAGGAGCGCTAAAGCACAGTATGACAAGAAGCTTGTGGAATGAATTAAAGTGGTCTCAAAGAGAATGATCTTTACATCCACGTAGGCCCCAGGCAGGCGGGTTCCCCTCAGTGTGCTGAGTACAGCTCATTGGCAATTAAAGCCTGAAGCACCCTCTCATTCTCACACCCCCCTGCCCCCCCCGCCACCCCCAAGAGATGACAGCTATGTCTTTGAAAATTCATTCACACACACAGTTTACCAAAGCGGTCTGATTCCTCTTTTTTCTCCGCTTTCTTCTATTATTTTCAGGGGGTAAGCATATACAGAGGTAAATGCTTTCAACTTCAAGTTCCTCTTAACCCCATGGCCAGGAGACAGCCTCTCTCTTCCTTTGACTAGGATGCCATCTGAGATGCTTTTCTGAGATGGCCCTGACAATCACTTACCCAGAGTGATGGATGTCTCCCTCTTATGGTGGCACTACATGATAGGAACTTTCTGGAAGGACTTTCTCCAGACTTTTAACATGTTAACATGAACACAATTGAAAACAGACCCAGAGCTAGACAGACTGTATCCCTCAATTGTGAGCAATTACATTGATAATAATTTTCTGAATGGCAACTGGAGAAATATTATGCTGTGTTTTGTACTAGTCAGATCATTGGTTATAATCCTAGAATCTGGCATGACAATACCCTAGATGTAGCAGGAGTTCAATGAATACCTTTGGGTTGGATGATTAAAGCTTATTCACATCCAAGTATGATTTCCTTGTGATACAGTTATACCTATGGTACCAGGCTATGTGACATATTCCGTGGACTCATGGTTTTAGGCATTTTCCCAAGCCTCCATTTTATTAAAGTATACATTAAAAGATTTAAGTGTACCATCTATAACTCTGCAAGGTAAAAAAAAAAAAAAAAAACAAAAAAAAAAAACAAAAAAAAAAAAAACAAACCAGAAGAGTATTGCCTCAGGAAGTAGGATTGACTAAATAACTTAGTGTAATGAAAATATTGAAAATCGTGATATAGTAAGGCTTACCTGCACGTATCCATTTGTCAAAATCGTGCAGCTAAGATTTGTGCATTTCAATGCATGCAAATTTCATCTATAAATGTAACTTCATTATATTATTCTGTTTATTTTGTTTACTTGAAATTATTCATAGTAAAAAATTTTAAAATGACATTTAATGAATCTTATTTCATATGAGGAGCTAAAGCAGGATCAAGGTTTATCTCCCCTTCACCTAATAAGTAAGGAAGGGGTGGCAGAAAAAATTAAAGAAGAATATAAAAAACTTTAAGTTGGGAGTAGACAGGAAAAGTCATTTTCAAGTACAGCTCCTCATTATGTACTATTCATTGCCTTTCCTTGAAAAGTCTATACGTATACATGTATGCCCTAGCCATGTGGCTCAGTTGGCAGCATTGTCCTATATACCAAAAGGGTTGCAGGTTCAATTCCCACTCAGAGCACTTACCTGCGTTGAGGTTTGATCCCTGGTTGGAGTGGGTATGGGAGACAATTAATTGGTGTTATTCTCATCTCACTCTTTCTCCCTCTTCCTCTCTCTCTAAAAAGCAATAAAAATGTATCCTCGGGTGAGGATTAAAAAAGTGTATACATATGCATGAATACATATGTCACAAGTTCTTTTCTTAAAAAAATTTCCATGCATATCTGACAAGTAGACTCCTATCTAGGATAGTTCATCTTTCTGGATCAAGTACGTTGGTGGTGGGTACATTCGAGTCCACTCTAATCTCTCCACTTTCCCTGCTACTCTGGCCTTGGCTGATCTCTGCCTCTTTGAACTTCTTGCACACTCCTCATCTGCAGCTCACATATAGAATTCAATGGAATCTCATCTCTTGTGCTACTTGCTTTATGTTAGCCGTGTATCTCCCTCTTGAACATAAGGTCATTGAGGGCAGGAGTCAAGCCTGGTAACTTTTGGTCTCTAGCCCCTGTGTTCCTCTTTCTAGAGCACATGTGTCAAACACAAGGCCCTCGGGCCAAATCCGTCCCGCCAGGCCTCGCAATGTGGCCCACACCGTGCTGTCATCACTGCACTCCGCTGCGTTTCCATCACAATGACAGTTTATGACTGTTCAGTAAACCATTCGGCTCGCGATTTAGGCTGGATTTTAGATTTTGGTCCCTTCTCTGATTGAGTTCGACACCCCTATTCTAGAGTCTCCCCCTGAGCATAGACCATGGGTGAGCGAGGCTCAGTGAGTAATGTTGTCTGTCCTGTTAACTAATCAAACAAGGCAGAGGTGAGGCAATTAGGAGGGGAACTCATCAAGGCCCCACACTAAAAGCTTTACATGTATTTATCCTTATTTTGTCTCATTCAGCCCTTGAGAGATAGGCATTGTTTATGTTTTACAGATAAGAAAAATGGACATTCGTAAAGGTTGGTGATTTGTCCAAGGTTACAAGTTAGTAAGCGACAGGCTTGAGATTTGAGTTCATTTCATCTGATGGCAAATCCATACTCTTTCATTCTTCCATGCCCAACTCTTCCCTTTCTTCTGGTTAGATATTGAATGTCCTGTGTTCTCAACACTGAATTCCAGCAATCTGATCTTCTCGCCTTAAGCCTGAGCATCTCTGTCACTGCTCTCTAGTGGGCAGGGACACCACAAACAAGTCATCATCAGCATCTCCATGCCAGCCTTATGCTAGCACCTGTCAGAGGTGCAAGGACCCATTCCTGAGCTGGGAGAAACGACCTCCCAGCTAGTGCTCAGATCTTAGCCTCCTGATCACACACAGTCCACCCCTTGTTGCGATGGTCAGCTGGAAATGAGTGTCCAGGTCCTTTGATAGAGAACTACATTTCTAGAAGCAGCAGGCATATGTCCAATTTCCCCCATTTCATCATCTGGGCATAGTCTGAACACAAATACGTGATAGCACATGAGCGAAGAGCAGTCTCTTTTTCCATGAAGCTGTTCCCAAAATTATAAGAGGAGGTGAAATCTCAAGAGGATGGCCCTGTCCCCAAGTTCTGTTCCATTCCTTGTCAGCTATATGGAAATCTGGCAAACAGAATTCTGGTACATTTATTACTTTATAAGAAACTAAGTCCACTCTCTCTTTTTTCTTCTTCTTTTTTTTACTTTAAATATGCAGGTTGTGTTATCAACAACAGTGAATGTAGATGGACATGTGTTGGCTGTTTCTGATAACATGTTTGTTCATAACAACTCTAAGCATGGGCGGAGAGCAAGAAGACTGGACCCTTCGGAAGGTAGGGCTGTCTGCGGGCAGGGCAAGAATGGCAGACAAAAGAAGTTCTTCACAATTGCCTTGTTTGAATTTGAAATGTATGCTTCTAAGTTAGGAGTGGAGAAAGTACACACAACCATGTGGGTTTTAAAGTGAAGTTGTAAACACTGACTCCTGCCTACTCTGTTGTAGCCCCACATCATCTCCCCGTGATGTTTAAGCCTCCATGCCTCAGTCTGTTCCATTCAGTCCTATGTTTTTCTTTTTGCTAGGCAGGTATTTCGGGCAAATGTAGGCCTATGACATCTTAGTTAAACAGGAACATTAGAGTGCCAGACATGTATGAATAAGTGTCAGATGTGCCCTTAAACAGATTGTGGGCAAAACAAAACAATGTGCAGAATGAAACTGACACTAATTGATTTTTGTTTGCTTGGACTAGAAGAAATCATGGTCTGCTCTGGGTAGTTTTCCAAGTGCATTAAAGTAATTAGAAATACAGGTAACTGTTAAACTTCAACTTGTCTGAAAAATTAAAGCACATTGAGGAAGATAACTGACAAACCTAAGTAAAGGCCATCTGAGTTCTTCTCTTTCCTTCCCCACTCCCCACTCCCTGGAGTAGGAGGTCATGGACTACATGAATAGTGAAATTAGGGGCTATTTTAGTGTGATGCTTGGCTGTATACTGCCCACCAGCCCTCCACCCCAACTCGGCCTTTAAAAATGTGTCTTGTATCATTTAAAATAGGAATTAATGAGCTGAAAGAAAATGATTGAATCAGTAAAGAATCTGGAGTGGTGTTAATTCTCCCACAGCGGGCACTGAAGGGGAGAAGAAAATCCCAGGGTTCAGAACTAGGAACCCATCCAGTTTCTTTTGACTGATTGGATGTGATTGACTGGCTGTTCAAAGAGGGCTCATGTTTTTGGAATCCTGCCAAAGTTCTCTCCCACCTTTGACCCTGTCAGCTTTGGAAATGGAGTGATGGATTGACTTTAGTTATGGCCTGAAAACCATATTGGGTTCCTGTTGGGATCTAAGGTCCAGAGGCCTCAAACATATGGACGAAGGGGGGAAATCCATCCTACAAAGTTAGGAAAGTGATTAGAAATTGTCTCTTGATAGAGCAGAATAAGCCTGCACTCTGACAGATTTTGCTTTCTCTTTCTCTGGCACATTAGCAGGCCTTGTAAATCTTAACATCTTAGTGCACAGGAGGTGGAGAGAGAAAAGGGATTTACACATTTCCAGTGTGGTCAACTTATAAAAATATGGGGGGAAAGAACAAGTTCTCAAAACACCCTTTGCACAATTAGCTAAGTGTTCCATGTTTTCATACATAGTGGTCAACTCATTAGGCTTTAATGACCTGGTGAAAACCAACAACCAATTAAGGAATGATGGCAAGTCAGCAAAGCTCAACTTGAACTTCTTGGAATGATCAACAGCCTTTAAGAGCAGTCAGTTTCCTAAACTCCAAACTTCAACCACCAAAGGGCAGACCTGACTTTTCTTTTCTGTCTTTTTAGCTACCCCCTGCATCAAAGCCATTAGCCCAAGTGAAGGCTGGACCACAGGAGGAGCCATGGTTATCATCATTGGGGACAACTTCTTTGATGGCCTCCAAGTGGTGTTTGGGACCATGCTTGTATGGAGCGAGGTAGGCAGGGGCAACTTGCTCTCCTGGTTTTCTTTGGCCCAAAGATTGTTTTGCTCTGGGTTTGTAACTAATAATTTCTGTAGTATCAGCAGCATAAATGCACATTATTAAGTACCAAAGATTAGCCACATAAACCACCAACATTCATTGCAATATTATTTATAATTGTGAAAAAATAAGAATAGCCTAGATATTGAGTAAATAAATGATAGAATATCATTCCACCATTAAAAATTGTGGGTTTTTTTTGTTTTGTTTTGTTTTTTTCCCCTAGCCAGTTTGGCTCAGTGGATAGAGAATTGGCCTATGGACTGAAAGGTCCTAGATTTGATTCTGGTCAAGGGCACATGCCTGGGTTGCCGGCTCAATCCTCTGTAGGGGGCATGCAAGAGGCAGCCAATCAATGATTCTCTATCATCATTGATGTTTCTATCTCTCTATCTCTCTCTCCCTTCCTTTCCAAAATCAATAAAAAAAAATTTTTTTTAAGTTGTGTTTTGAAAAAATTGTAATGACTAGGAGAAGAGTGCATGTTTATGCTGTAATGCTAAGTGGAATAAAAAATCAGGACAACAGTGTCTGAGGATGTAAAGTCTAATTACATAACATACATTCGTAGAAAAGTGCTGGAAACACATTGAAGATTAATAACAGTTGTCTCAGGTTATGCAATGTTAATATTTTTCCTTACATTTTTTTCTGTAATTTCTAAATTTCCTAAAGGGGATATGTTCTACTTTCACAATGAGAAAACCAACAAGACATGTTACAGGAAGATAACTACTGATGTTAAGTTGGATGTGGAAGTTGCCAAATCAATATGTGAGGTCATAGCAGTGTAGGAATTACAGGGATGGGGGTGGGGTGGGCACAAGAGGTGGGAGGGACTTGAACTGAGCAAGTAGAAAGGAAAGGACCTAGACAGGTTAGGTTGAGGGAAATTCCAGGGTAAGAGAGAAACATGTGAGAGACAGGAACAGGATATTCAGAGTGTTAGGGATGCTGTGACTATGCCAGTTTGCCCTGGTGGGAGTAGTCGTGAGAGATTCTCAGGTTCTCAGTATTGTTGGTAATAACTTCTATAATAGGTGTTTCATTTCCATGCCTGTTCATTCCTCAGCTCATCACTCCTCATGCCATCAGAGTGCAGACTCCTCCTCGGCACATCCCTGGAGTGGTGGAAGTGACTCTGTCTTATAAATCCAAGCAGTTCTGCAAAGGAGCTCCAGGGAGGTTCATTTATACAGGTGAGTGAGAAAATGATTCCAAAGGGTACTGGCACCTGGTTCTCCTTTGGACTCATTCCCAGTGTCTCTACTTTTTCATCATTCTAAACTTACTAGGTCTTTCTGCTTGTGTGGGAAGATTGGACTGGGTAAAAGACATTGAATGGGGAAGAATAGACTTGATTCTAAATTTGTATTATACTTACGCAGTTTCTGTAGAGTCTGGGAGATGATTAGAGCAGCTCATCTCACAGGTACCTCCTTATAAATTTAACTCTGCTGGAACTTTGCTAGGATAGACCTTTATTCAAGCAACCAGACAAAAAATTAGACAATGTTGCTGGGTATAACTAATTTTCTTGAAAAGGATTCAAGAGAGTTGCCCATTGATGCTGTAGAGGGATTCAAATTGTTTTAAATTTTATGAAAGTATAAGTTACCTATTATATATCTCAATATTTGTTGAATATCTATCTTGTACCTACAACCTTTTGTAAGTGGAATAAAAGAGCGCAAGGTAGAGGGACATAGAATACATGGTCCTTACTGTACTGAGAGTTTAGAGGAGGCAATGGTATATTACACAGAACAGCTAGAGAATTAGAATATTCAAAATGCATGGTATTTCCAATGAATGGAATATGAGTTCCAGGAAAAGAGAGTTTAGATGGACTAGAGTAGGGGGATGACATATTAAGGGGGAAATGGACATTTGTAAGGATGGGAGGGTTTATATAGGCAAAGAGAAGTTTCAGCGATGGGAAACTCATGTGCAAAGGTCCAGAGGGTGAGGTGAGCAGGTGGCAATGCATTTGGGTAGACCTAGACCAGTAGTTAGTTTAGATGACATAGGCACAGGAAGAAGGGAAACCAAAAAACAGCTTAAAAGCCCTGTATGGTACCAAGAGTAATCAAATTCATAGAGATGGAAAGTTGAATGATGGTTTTAGAGGTTGAGGGTAGGGAGAATGGTAGTTATTGTTTAATGGGTACAGAATTTCTGTTTTGCAAGGTGAAAAGAGTTCTAAAGATGGGCTGAACAACAAAATGTGAGTGTGTTTAATACTATTAAACTATACACTTAGAAATGGTTTAAGATAACAAATTGTGTTATATTCTCCCATATATCAAATTTTACCATAATTTGGAAAAAAGCTTTGATTGGGAGTTCGGACTTGATTTGACAAGTTATAAAATGACATTGAGGCTCATGCAAGAAAAAATAACTCAAAAGTTCTTTCTTAGGATATATGAGTGTGGTTGATATAAAGACTGATTTAGGTGTGTGTGGTGGGGTGGGGGTGGGGCGAGGATCAGGGACGGCAGCCAAGGAGACCTAGAGAAACTGAAACCAGGATATTATACTTTGAAAGAGAAAATGGGGGTATAAAGAAAGAAATATATAAACCACGAAAATACATCAGATATATTATGACTTTCTAATAATATCATTTTATAGTTTATTCTCTTCTTTGGACTCAGCCTCTATTCTGGTCTGAGTATCATTGTCTGTTTAGATGTCAATGAGGAGTAGATGGAAGAGGGCTGGAGGAGATGGCCACAGAAGGGGGTGTAAATACAGGATGGAAGAAGTCTAGATGGGGCCTTTGGAGCACTAATGTGTATGGATCAGGAGGGGTGTGTGAAGGAGAATAAGCAGAAGTAGTCAGTGAGGTAGGAGAATATCAGGATCATGTGCGGTCCCTCAAGTCTGGTGAGGAATGGGTCTCACTCCAGGACGCTTTCTACATATAGAGCTCCAGCACCTCTATTTTCCCTGGCATGGATGACAGGTTAGGTCTGAGAGGAGATGAGTAAGACTAATACCAATCATGATGCAACTAATCCTCAACTCTCTTCTGGAGTAACAAATAATCTCTATACTCAGTGGGTCTACAGACATCTGGAGCCAAGTGGTATGTGTACATGCATATATATCTATGTGTGTGTGCAAGCATGTGTGTGTATATACATGTGTTAACTTCCTCTGAAAATAGGGGTTCTCACCCTTGCCTTCACTTTAAATCACTGATGCCCAGGATGGACCCTGACCAAATAGATTTAAATCTCTAAAGGTAGGACCCAGGTATCAGTGTAATCATCAGTGTTTGTTGAACAAACATCAGCTCCAAATTATGTTCAAGTCACAAAATCAATCATATCAGTATGCCTCTAACAGCTCAGTTCTAGAAGTGGGAGGAGAATAGGTACTTGTAGATTATGATAATTAGGTTGAGTTCCATAAGAGATGTAAAAGCAAAATGGGTTGTTGGAGCACTGAGCAGGGAGTAGTTGACTTTGGGGAACCGTTGAAGGCTGTTCAGAGGAGGTGACAATAGAGTGACATTTCAAAAGCAAAGTAGGAACTTACCAGGCAGAAGAGTTTGTGGAAACAGAGTGCCTGGTAAAAGAGGAGTCCACATAACCATGAAAATAGAAGATGTTATGCTACATGTAAAATTCAAAGAATCATAGAGATAAGGAGACATTGAAGATCATCTGGTAAAACTCCCTCTTTTGCAGTTGAGAAAAGTGAGGTTCAGGGAGAAATGAATTGCCCACAATTGTCCATTATATTCCAGGTGGAGTCAGAACAAGGACCCAGGTGTCTTCCCATCCCACTTGCAGGGTCTCTTATTTAGCATACTAGAGCCCGGTGCACACAAAAAAAACCATGCACTGTGTGTGTGTGTGGGGGGGTAATCCCTCAGCCCAGCCTGCCCCTCTACAGTCCAGAAGCCCTCAGGGGGTGTTCTACTGATGGCTTCCCTCTGTGGGAGGTGACCAGGCTGATCAGGGGAAAGTGCTGCCTCCATCATCCCACTGCTGCTGCCACTGCCGGCCTTCGCAGCTGCCAAGGTGTTTTCATCAACAGGAAGTCCAGTCCCTTCACCATGAAAAAAATGACAAACATTTTCAAGATGTCTCTTCCATAGGATATGACCTTCCTTTTCTTTCTTTCTTTCTTCTTTCTTTCTTTCTTTCTTCCTTTCTTTCTTTCTTTCTTTCTTTCTTTCTTTCTTTCTTTCTTTCTTTCTTTCTTTCTTTCTTCTTTCTCACTTGAGTGTATTTTTCCATTGATTTTTACAGAATGAGAAAAGACAGAGAGAAACATCAATGTGAAAGGGACACTTCGATTGGTTGCTTCCTGCATGATCCCTTATCTGGGCCCCGGCCAGGGAGGAGCCTGCAACCTAGGTACATGCCCTTGACCAGAATTGAACCCAGACTCTGCGGTCCACAGGCCGAGGCTCTATCCACTGAGCCAAACCAGCTAGGGCAGCGTATGACATTTCTTAGCCCCTCTTGCAGAAGACCTTCATTTTTACCTCCAGGAGTGAGGTGGAAAAACCCCAGATCACCTTCTTGGATTCTTATTATGCAAGCTACCAAGAATACTGCAAATGGCATACCAGGAGCTTAGCCAATGAATGATCAGAAAAGGTGTTTCCTCTGCAGCTCACCCACAGAGGCAGGACTGGCAGGCCCTCTTCTCTCTGGGCCTGTGCTAACTGAGAGAGAGAGAGAGAGAGAGAGAGAGAGAGAGAGAGAGAGAGAGAGAGAGAGAGAAAGAGATTTGACAATATATATATTGTGTTTTCAAAGAACTCTCTTTTCCTAACGAGTCATTAATGACTATGAAATAAATAGCCCTTGAGCACACACACTAGGCTCAGCACTGTGCTCTGTGCTGGGGATACTGCAGATAGTTCTTGCTTCCTCAGTGTCACATGTCACGATGTGACACTGAGGTGGACTGCTCATGCTCTAGAGTAGGGGTGTCGAACTCAATCAGAGAAGGGGCCAAAATCTAAAATCCAGCTTAAATCGCGGGCCGAATGGTTTACTGAACAGTCATAAACTGTCATTGTGATGGAAGCGCAGCAGAGTGCAGTGATGACAGCGTGGTGCGGGCCACATTGCAAGGCCTGGCGGGACGGATTTGGCCCGCGGGCCTTGTGTTTGACACATGTGCTCTAGAGTCACACCGCCTGCACGCAAAGCTTAACTTGTCTCTAAACAGTTTGCAAATCTTGGGTGACATAAACTCTTAGTTTCTCACATATCAAATGGGCTATCTACCTCTCAGAGCTGTGGTGAGGATAGTAATAGAAACAGTGGTGTGCTGGTAAAACATTAACAACCAGGTCTCTAGGTTCAAGGTGAGGGTGGGGGAAACATTGGTTTGTAGCATTTGCTGGTTTCCATGGTGCAGATATTCTCCCCATGGCTCATTTCAAGCTATCAATATGACATCAGCCAGCTCACAAAATTCCTGAAAATTTAACACCCGGCACTCATAAGTCAGCCTAGAACACCTCTGCATGGAAGACATTTGGGATAGAGAGCAATTAGATCTTATTATTCAAAATGTGTTTATTATTCATATTATTCTTGTTATTTCTATTAGTCTTAACATCATGGAGACTGATGACTGAGAAGTTACTGGTGCTATGAGGATTAAAAGTTGTATAGGATGCTGTGGATATATGCCAGGGAAGTCGAACCTTCTTGAACTGAGATGACAGTCCAAACACAGAAAACAGTACATGCAAAGGTCCTGGGGTAGAAAAGAATGTGGGATATAGTTGATGGCCACTATGAACAGGGCAGAGAGAATGAGTTAAAGAGAAGTTGGTTTCAAGCTGGAAGCGAGGGTTTGGGCTGCTTGTTTGGTCCTACCCCTAATGCACACTAAGGATGTTTTCAATCTGTATGAAAACACGAGGAGACACTGGAGTATTTTAAAGCTGGGGAATCTGTGATCAGATTTGCCTTTTTAAAGATTATTCTGGCTGCAGTGTAGAGAATGGTGTGGAAGTCAGGGAGGATTCAGGGAGGTCAGTTGGAGGCCAGTGTGGTGGCCTCGGTCAGAAATGATGGCAGCTTGGACCAGCATGCTGGTCGTGGGGACAAGCTGAAGTGGATGAAATTTAGGAGGTAGCATTGACGGGACTTGATGATTGATTGGATAGGGTAAAGGTTGGGGAAAGGAGGGGAGGGGAAGACTCTCAGGTTTC